TGCTAAACTATTCGATATATTGTGCAACTTCAAATGTTATATAAAATATAGCGTTGCTTCTGGGCTTAACGTGTGTCTAAAATTTTACCGTTACTCATGATGTACGATACAAGCTGAATCGCTAGGAGAAGTATTTAATCAAGCGATCACTTTGGCCGGGTTTAAATAAACCAACGTTGAACGATGGGGTCGCAGATTACAGCGTGAGGAGAGAAGTGATAAGACGACACGGTGGCTCGGTGGCGAGAAGGGTGTGGCGAAGACAAGACGAGTCTAAGAAGGGTTAAATTACTCACCTCTTCGTTATAACTACAACGCGTTCCATCCCCTCCTTTCTCGTCGTAAACTTCTACTATCTGCGACCCTCGAATGTCTTTGGTACGATCGTGGGGTGACCGAAAACCTAAATAGGAGCCGTAAGTGATATCTATTAATAAGCTGGATCGCTATTAATAAGCTATTCATAGCGCTTTCTCTTCCTGGATTTCTTAGTAGACATAGATATGAAAATAATATTACGATATTATTTTATTCTGTGATCCCAAAACAAAATGGCTTGACACAATGATATATAAATTTATATTTAATGTGAAGAAAATTAAATTAATTTCGTTTTTGTCAGTTATACTTGCATGCTATCATCAGTGGCATGTTTTTTATTAGCTGTTACTGTTAGTCAATTAATTTTGATACGAGGAATGCAGATAGATTAAACGCCAACTCATTAAATTTCTCGCAGGAGATATTGATAAAACAAAACAACGAACTTCATGAAGATACTGATATGCCTTCCGCCGTAGTATCGTTATGTCTGAAAGCATTTCACTTCATTCTCAGTTTTTCCGTCACGAACCGAATTTCATGCAGCGCTCACGTACCGTGCCGTCATTCAAATTAATTGCGCTTACTTTGAGCGCGATTCGTCGGGATCTCTTCAGTGGCAGTTTCGGTTTCAAAGCGCCGCGCGGATGAGTACGAATGTCAGGGAAAGTACGCGTGTACCAAGGCTGTACGTGTGCCGGTGGGTGAACGAGGGGGGGTAGATGGAGGCGGGATGGGGGAGGCAGGAGGCTCTCTCGTGTACACCCGACTCCACCTTATTACAATTAGCTTCCTTATATATCTAATTAGCAAGATTCTTGGCGCACGGGGTTTCAGTGCGAAGTGAAAGACGGCAGTTGCCACCAGAGCTCTTCGCTCCTGTCTAATATAACTCTGCCATGCTCTAGTCTGTGAGACGTAATATCTCGCGTAGGTGTGCGATCGTCTACGCGCGTAGATGGTTTACGCCAAGTTTTGGGACCAATTATCATAACCTGACGTGTTGCACGCTTATAAAAGATCGCGTATTGAGAGCGAGGTCCCGTTTAGGTCGAGTTTAAAATTTTAAGAACAAGAGATCGAAAAATTGACGCAAGGCTTCTGTAGAAATATTTTATCCCACGATTCACTTACTGATCGCAAAAAATTTACGAGTGAATAAAAACTGAAGATCTGGGAAGAATGAGGTATGAATTTTACACCAGAGTTGCAATCCGAGGACAGCAAGAATTTCATTTTAGCTGACTTCACCTTGAGAACCACCCACCGGTTGCAAAATAATTCACAAGTGAGGGTAAACTGACGGAAGATAATTTTTAAACCCTTTCTTGGCCGGCAACCTAGCTCGGGGCGAACATGAATGGACGACCGGCCAGCGGTTGGCTTCAGCTTACTTAATTATCGCACAAAGAAAGAATGGCCCGTGGAAATGTAAAATAAAGGCTGCACCGTGTTTCCCCGGCGCTTTCTCAGCCCCTTACAGACTCCCTGTACCTTTGCTGTTCGTCCATTCCTTTGCCACTAGGGCTCCGTCAGTCTCAAAGGACAAGCGCGATCTCTCGGAGGAACATGAGAAGGAGAGACAGAAGGGCGGAAAGAAGGACGAGGGCGGGAATGGGGTAAGAACGGACCAGTAAAGGAAGGGGTTAACTTTCCACAATTAATAGTGACTAACGTCCATTAAAAACTAATTCCTTTATTTATGGTTCACTTCCCGATTCTCCTGCGACCTTCCTTCTTTCGCTTCTCGATTCTCACTCTTTCTTGACCTCGCCCGCAATCTCGGTGAGGTGTACTTACGCCCCTTTATTTGCTCTTCCCCCAAACGACAACTTGTTACAGGACGAAAGTTGCCGCTTTTTTTTTTCCTTGATATAGCCGGTCTCGAATGACGGATTAAAATTGGGAAAGTTCTTGCTACCGGGTCATATTTTTCTGCGGCTGGGGTCCTCGTTAAAAGTAATTGCGCACCGGTAGCTTTGTCCGCGTTCTTCCGTCGATTCGAGAGGTACGATCGCATTAAATCTCTACGACGATCTAGTGCGGTCAAACTTATCGTAACTGACAATGATTTTATAGTATATATAATAATGTATTTTTTGCATCGTATTAGATTTAAATAACATTATGTTAAATCTATCTTACATTAATATAAAGTTAAGATAGAAGTGGAAATTATATTTAAAAAATATAAGCAATAAGAGATACGTATTATTATAAGGTTATTTTTAATAATAATAATCCGAAAATGATATTGCATCGTACAAGTCGAATAATATCGCTTTTCACTCCGATTATATAATAACTCCATATTGTTCTATCATTTTTTTTCTCAACTCTTCGTCTTTCGACGGCTTTCTTTTAGCGCTGCACAAAAGCTCGTGCGCGTCGACAATACGAAGAACGGAGAAAGATTGATGGCGCAGAGAGGCGGCCAAGTCCGAAGCGCTTTCACGGCGTGAAGCGAGAGCGCGTCGCCGGCGGGTCTGCACATTTTTAATTGTAACTAAAATAATTATACTTTGAGGAGAACCGGCCGCTTTGACACCGCCGTGCGCGGCCAGCAAAGGCAGCGGCGAAATAAAAAGTCCGTCCCCGTTCGTCTCGTACTGCTCGCACGTCTCGACGCGGTCGTTGCGAGGAATATGTAATTTCGCCTCTGCGAAACTGACAGCCCGGAAGGGGCCACACACCGGTGTTGCACCCCTAAATAATAATAAGTACGTCTAGTTACGTCCATCCGCGTCCATCTCCCTCTCCACTCTCGCGCACCCTCTTTCAGCCCATCCCTCCTCCGCCCCGTCTCCTCTTTCGCAGTTTTGGATCGCTGTACGTTAATTTCTGTACGTCAAACGAAGTTGCACCAGTCGCGTGTTTACATGTCGAAAACGAGCGTAATGGGCTGCCGCTGCAACTTAGTCGCGTGATTTCGCGCGGCGCGGTGCGGCACGGTGGCCGGTGACCTTAAGCACCGTTCACAAATGCAGTATGGGGGTGCACCCTTTGCACCACTGCGTCGTGAGAGAGGATAGGGCGCGCGGGGGTAAAAGGGCGAGGCAGCCGGCGGCGCACCCTTTGAAAAAAATTGTTCCGGGCTCGTCACGAAACCGGCTGGAGAGTTTCGGAAAGTATGTTAAACGGATTTCGCGTTCGACGAAAATTAATTATACGGCCAGGCGGTAACCGGCTCGCTCGCTCGCTGGCTCGCTTGGCTCTCTTTCCCGATGTCCCTGTCTTTTTCCATCGTGTTGTCGGACCTTCCTTTCGACGATGAGGCGGCCCACCCCGACGCTTTATCATTCATAAAGTCTCGGATTTCAGAATTCGCGTAACCCAATACGCCCGCGGCTCTTTTCCCGTTTTGCGCGAAATTTCACCGAATTTCTTGCGCCACCCGTCGCCGCCCACTTAAAAAGCTCCGCGTGCACACCGCGAGCTGCCTGCTTGCCTTTTTTTCCTACTTCTCTCTTTCTCTCGTCGAATATATTTTTCCGAGTGGACGCGATGACGAGGAGGAGAGAAAAATGTAGGAAACACGCGCAGAGGGACGAACTGAATCTCCGAGAAAACTCTTAACGCTACCGACGCTCCAACTGAGAGAATCAAGTTTGAGATGCAGCCTGCGGATATTCGAATGTGCATATAAAGAGGAATAAAGCAACGAGTGCGATAGTTCCATATGTATAATGCGAATATACCGGGTGATCGAGTAGGATTTTTAGACAAGATTCAAGTCGTACTAAAAATTTGAACGTATAACTCTTATATATTGAATTCATTTTTTATTTGATCTTATTTGCTTTTATTTTCTTGATATTATCCAGTAATAGCATTGACTATTTTGTTTGCGTTTTCTATTAACATTTTTTTTCTTATCGGATAAATAATTTTAATATAATATGAGTATTTTTCGTCCTCCTGCCATTCTATGTTGTATCATTTTTAGTCACCCGGTAGGTGGTACACCGGAGCTTAATTAAGATATGTATTTATTTTAATTCCTCTCGGGCCGCACAGAGATGGCCGACTGGCCGGGCATAGGATAACACGATTTGCTTAGAGCCGTCGGTGCGCATACATCTCGCACGTGCAGAGAGATTTTCAATTCAGGTATAAGGAAAGAGCCGACGTGCTAGGAACGCGCCAGTATAATATAATAAATAGAGAGAAAGAGAGAGAGAGGGGGGGAGAGAGAGGGAGAGAGCGAGAGAGAGAGGGAGAGAGGTGCCAAGAATATAGTTTTTTGTTTCTTTAACCTGCTCTTTTTCGAGATCGTATACGGCGAGTATTCTTTTGGAAGATGCACCCCTCGCGCGATTCGGCCGACGGTAAAGGGTCCACTTCTTGCAGAATAAAATTAGGAAACTGTATCCTTCAACCCTTTGAGAAGGTGCGTTCATTCTTCTCCGCACTGTTTTTCTTTCTGCCTCGTTATCCCTTTTTACCTTCTGAGAATGAGCTGTCTGAGGGAGTCTTTACTTCTCGTGGCTTTATTCCAAAATGTATTATGCGGATTTCTAATGTTTCCGGAGTTGTAGTAAATGTTGTTTCAGAATATCTACTTACAAATAAGAAATAAGAAAATTCTGAAATATTGAACGTGTTAAAAAATAGCTTTATACAGTAACATTCAATATTTTCTTTCCGAAAGAATCATCATGTGTTCTTGTTTGTTTCAGATTACAGCGTCTGAGATTTGAAGGATCGTAAAGTGGTAAGTCATAATTACGTGGCACTTTTATACTTTGCCAACTTTACCGTGTATTAGACGAGAAAAAGTCGGTTAACCATGTACAAGCAAACTTTGAAGAACGAATGTCACGAGATAGAAGTTAAAAACCGTTGGGTTCGTACGACGCGGAAAGGGCTATACTCCTGAGAGAGATCTCGTAACTCTCGTAGTCCCAATTCGAAATGCGCTCCTCCGGCTCGTAAAAGCTGACATAAAATCGTCGCGTACGGTCGAACGTGGCGGTTCGTTGAACAAAAGACCAAGTGACGTTACCGTAAATGCGAGTTATGAACGTGTTCGATGCGCATACGATATTATAATGATCGAGGTTGCTGAAGGAATGAATAAGGATTGGGTTTAGACTAACGGATTCGTTTCTTGAACCTTCGCAAATCGTTTGTTTTTTTTTATTCTTAAAATTAACATAACTTAGAGTGCGTAAAAGTAAAGAGTGCTCTTTTGTGCCAATAAAGTCGCAGTATTTCTCGAAAGTACTCAGGCTAGGAACGCATTTTATGATAACGTAAAGTTGAAATTAGCGACATTTACTCTTCTGCGATCTTCTGATCTTGTGTTATTTTATTTCACGAATTTTACAGATAATCGTAACTTTTCAATTTAATTCAATATGGAGCTAAGAAATTGGAAATCGAACTTTGTAAATAATTTCAAAATTCTAATTTGCATTTATAAATGGATGTTAGATGGAAAGGAATGTTCTTTTCACGTTTGCATTTTTCTTACTTCCATTATAATTCTAACATTCTGAATTTTTTATATGGAAGTTTAGTAGAAATCTTGCGCGAATCTTATTATTAATCCTTAAGCATGTTTAAATCGATATTGATAAAATACAAGCGTATCTGGTTGTGTCAACCCTCCAATTTCTTTTTTTTTCCACCCAGGACACGTCATCAGCGACCGTTTTTAAAATCGTCTCGATTTTTCATTGCCGCTACGTTTCCTTCGTGCGATTTCTGCGGCTTCGCAGGCTTCCGCCTTCGAGACGCTAATGGGTGCGTACGAATATTTCATTCCCTGTAAGATGCCATTACGAAAGTATATAGGATACGCCATGGCTGTATGCACGGTGGAGTCGCAGGTTGGAGGGGCGAGGGGATATTTAATGACGCGTGGCGATATTAAAATGGCATAAAAATGAGGTGTAATTTGTATCTGGCCTCAAAAGTTGCCCTCATCCTTCGCTAGCAGTCAGATTATACCCTGCTCTCTTTCTTTCCTCTCCCCCCCCCTCCTCTCTCTCGCTCTCTCTTTCGAGCTTTCGCTCGACGTTGTGTACTATTATTGTTATTAATACGAAAGGTCGCAGGCTCACTTAATACCTTGAGAAATCGCCGTATTTCCGTATCAACTGTTCCACCCTCAGTCGCGTCGACCGACGCTGTAATTTTACCGAAGGATGCGAAACAAGTTGGGGGGATGATGCAATTCTCGGGGAAAAAATGATTGCGAATGCTGTTATTATTAAATGCGGACAATGTTTAAATAATTACGAGACCGAAATATGAAAATGACGGGAGCGGCTTTTCAGAGTATATATATATATATATATTAGGTGTTGGAATTAATTCGTAGCGTTTTTTAATGAAAGAATGTTATTTATTTCACATGAGCATTAAAAAATACATTAATGAAAGTACTTCCCATCACTTGTAAAACGCTACGAATTAATTCCAACACCTAATATATATATATATATTTAGTATATATAAGTCATGTGCAATCTTGCGCGAATACCGAAGATATTCGTATAGCTTAATGTCTTCTTCGATATAGAAGTATCACCGTCGTTCCCAGCCTATTCGGATTCTCCTTCTGCACGATCCGTCGAAATCCTTCCACTCGAAAGGAGCCGCGGATAAAAATGTCATTTGAATATTTGGCGTACGTCCGCAACATCATTTATAACGCGTGACAATAAAGTCTCGAGCTGGTAGTAATCTTTATGACGCGATCCACGACGCGCGCCTCTCGTCGTCTTCCCCTCGACCGAACCTTTTTCGAGGCGCGGTTACTGCTTTTACGATATGCTAAGCGCCGGCACCGTCGCCCTTTTCAAAAGATATCTAAGCTCTCATCGTCACGGGCGGAATATTTTCTGGCTGCTTAAACATCGGATTAACGATCTGCAATAACAAACAAACTATTTATGCAGCTATCCCTCCTCAGCTCGGGCCCCGATTTCGTTCGGGAATCAGCTATTTAGGTCATAATGAATGCATTTGCGCATTTGTACTGGTTGCTATAATGTATTCGTTACAAAACAAATTTACATTTACATTCGGGAAGTACCGAATTTAGATACAGCACTTCATATTTCGTATTATGACTTAATTAGAATTTTTTTCTTATGCTTAAGTTCATGAATTTTTATATATTATTTTATTACAATTATTATAGATAAAATTAAATCGCATTTTGTACCAAAAATATTTCTGATTTACTTTCTTGTAGAATGCATATATCACATATTCTTTAATTATAAAATTTTCACAATGTATAAAAAAGTGCTTTTCTTACGTTAAATAATAAAATATCATTTTATAGCTATTTCTGTAAGATCGTAGTTCGCAGATTGGTGTGGTGAGCGTTTGCTTCCGACGAACATCGCACGTCGCGGCGATTCATGGTCGACGATGGGGAAATAGTTCGGTAGACGTAAGTCGCACGACGAGGGAAGGGGGTCCGGACGGTCACTTGGATTTGTGTGGTGTGAACGCGGGACGGACCAGTAAATCCACCCTTTCGTGGTCTCTTAGCGAACTCGGGTCATAGATCGTCCAAACTATCGTGAAACAACCCCCACCCTGCATCTACTGCGACCTCCGAACTACCCTTCGGGGTGCTTTGGCACCCTCGTAAGGAGCACGGTATCCTCCCCTCGTCCCGGAAGAAACTCCGATTATGCGAATGGCTTTGGAAATTCACACTAAACTAAAGTGTCTCGCGTCATGTGGGTTGCAATATTGGGAATCACAAGTCAACAACTAATAACATCGACCCATATTTATTAAGATTTAAATCTAATGAAATTTTGATTTGAAAACTTATATCTTCGATTAAATAAATTTTTATTCTTAAATTTAAAGGAGGCGAAACTTGGATATTATCGCGCGATTACCTTTGCACTGTTCTTTTCACGAGGCGTTCCCGCTTTTCTTCTTTTTCTTGAATCGGCTATGATATAGAATACACCGTGGGTTTGAAAAGAAAAGCGGCGCTCGTTAGTTCCGTGAGAAATTAATTATTTGCCCGCCATCGCTATGGCCGCTCGAGTAATGGTGAAAAATGTCTGGATTGTGCGGGATTACATCACGTTGAAGGGGGGAGGATGGCAGGAGATGAGTTAGGTAAGTGGGGGTGAGAACGGAGACCCGGAAAAAGAATAAGAAGGAATGTATCGGTGTGGCTCGTTACACTTAAATTGGAGGGAATGACTGAGTGGTCTCGTTATTCATCGCGAATAATATAGAAAAGGGCTTCCGACTTCGCGCTTCACCTGAGCAACGATTCCTGGCAGGATATCTGACACGGCTAGATCGCGGGGGAGTCTTTTCTCTTTGGGAGATGAATTGACGCGGCCATGTCCGACGCCATAATCAGACATTGAAAATGTCTTGTCTTTTATTCGAGGTCTCGTCGAAAGCGATATTCAAAGCTCGACGGAATATTTTTGATCATTAGCGGGATATCTACGTATATATATATATATATATATATATATGTGAAACATATGATATACGTACTTGAACTACCAACTTAAATTGAAATATATGAGAATCTTTTGTTGCGTTGACATCTGTAGTTTGTTATAAATCAAGAGATAACAAATGGAATTTTATATTCATATTAATTAATAAATTAATTAATAACAACATTATTTTTCTATATTATTTTATTATTTATATTAATGATGGATAGTTACATATCAATTTTACAAAACTGATATTATACATATCGGCACGCAATTATCATTTTTGAGATTAATCCATTTATATGAATATATAATAATAGTTCAACATCTTAACATTCAAACCGTAGTGGCGCTTCGTATTTAAAGTAATGTATTTAACATAAACGATCTTGTTTCCGATCTTATTGTTTACTGATATTATTGTTTCATTTACTGGAAGAGAAATGTTTATCATATTGCATTGAAACTGTCAGTAATCGAGACGAAATAAAACATTGGCATCCTTATGCATACTTTGCTACATGTAATTAATGCACCCCGAGGAATGGCGTTTCGCTAATTAGTTCGCTTTGTGCAAGAGTCGCGCCGAGCCAAACAAAAAGACATCGAACCAAATTGTTCACAAATTGGACGGATGACATTACCGTCCTCTATTAAATGGCGTTTACCCAACTCGTTGGCGTGTCGGCCTTTAACCCTCTCTCGGCACGAGCAAAACCACCACCGGGGAGGCCGCCTGGCTTGGGTTGGCGTAGTTTGAGCTGCCCATAGAGGTGGTCGCTTCTCTAAGATCAAGTGCTTTCCAGTACCGCACTAAGCCAAACTCCTGCCGCTCTAACGTCCGTTCGTCCGGTCAGATCTGCCATCCGGGAAGGGGTGGATTGATAAACCAACCGCTCTCGTCCCTCTTGACCGGGCAAATTCTTGTGGACAGCCACTGGACTTCAGTGGATCTCAATACGCGATCTTGTTTTCGTATCTGTTGACGTCGATTGCCAAAGTATCTACGTTGAAAATAAAACTGATGCAGATAAAAATATTGAAAAACATTTTAGATTATGTGATAAATATTCTGTTAAGATTGTAAAAAAATATCATTGAAGAATTTGGTATATCACTTTATTTCAACCGTAATATAATTACTCCAATACATTCTTTATTACTATTTATTTATTTATAAGCTCTATACATTTTCTTCTAATTCCGCAATATTACTTTACCCAAAATTTTGCTTCTGTCTGCATTGCATCTATCTCTTTAAATAATT